TTTATTTATTAGTTCCAGTCATCACACACACACACACAGAGCAATATGGAGCCTTGCAATGTAACATTGCAGCATGCTATTTTACATTTTGAAGTACAGGTATTTGATGCATGGAGGATGATCAAACTTGTCAGTGTTCAGCATTGATGATGATGACAATGGAAGATTAGATATTCAGTAAGCACAAAACTACCATCATTTACAGATTCCATTTTGCAGCTGTATTGTATATCATCTATGGTGGAAACACATAACACGGTGCCACTAATGGCAGTTGGATACTGACCTAATAATACTTTCACATTATAGTTACTAGACTAACATTCAAGGTGTAATATTCCATAAAATATATATAATATAATAACATGAGATTACCTGAAGAAACGGCATGCTTAAAAAGCAGCTCCACGTTATGGTGTCTACCGGTCTGAGATGCAACATGAAGAGGGGTGTTACCTTCAGTTTGAGTTTCATAAGCATTTATGCCCCTAAAATAAATATATGTAAGGTTTAGAAAAATATTACATTACCCTTGTTATTTTTACTACAAGATAAACAAATAGAAATTCTAAGTTTAATATTCCATATTACTAAGACAGGGTAAAATATTTGTATTACTCTACCTGCATATTTAAAATCACTTGCCCTCAATTTTCCTCAAAGTGGTAGTTTTGTAGCCAAAATCAAAAAGAAGAAAACAAATTACTGTTATCTTACTCTTCTACAGAATTAAAAATGGCAAATGTTTTGCTTTATCCTGAACATTGTGCATCTCTAGAACACATCTGCAAATTTTCATTCACCAGCTTTGCCTACTTTTGATTCCAGAACTGAGTTTCAAGAAAATTTCGAAATTTCCAGCACTGTCAATGTTTGTCCAGCAATAAACATGAAGAGGGGTGTTCAGTGGGCATACTTTTGCAAGGTTTAAATGTCAAAAATGTAAAATGTGCTTTAAAACATCTTTTAAAATAATCTTTTTTTTCACCATTAGTTGCTACTAAGGGAAGCAACTCCAAAAAGTATGCCAAGTGCAGTAGCAAATGGTAGACTGAACACTGTAGTGCACATACCTAGCAACAATGGCTAACAGATTTTTACTTTATCTCTCAAAAATTTAATGATATATACTAATGTGAGCATTACCAAAGTGTTTTATTTTGTTGTTTATGAGATATCATCTACTGTTTGAGCTGAAGCATAATTATAGCTTTTGTTTTTCACTCAAGTGTTTTTGGATTGATTCTCATGTAGGATGACAATGAATGATCAGAGAAGAAACCTTTGCACATTTTTGACCCATTTAAAAATTTTTGTTTTGTTATATAATCTAAATTTCTTGTTATTTGTAAAATCTTCATTGTTTTTTTTTGTTGTTGTTGTGCATTATAACGTAAGCCAGTTTAGAAACTTTAATAAGTTCATGTATGTGGTCCTACAGGATGACAGCAGTAAGTTTCCAAAATTAGAACACTAAAATCCAGGGTTCTATTCCCTGTGATCGACAAAGTGCATCAATGTTGTATGTATGAAACACACTTCTGAAACTGTTAAGTTTTTTTCCATAAAGTATGAGAGTTAACTTGTTATCAATTAAGTGACAAGGAAGTTGGATAGTTCACAATTCAGTAAATATACAGCATCAGTCGAACCTTTGCCACTGTAAAGAACAACAATATATTAACACAATTTTGTTTTTCTTTTATTGTAACTATTTTAAATTCCAAGTAAACCTTAACAACTGGTGTTCCATTAACTGTAACTTGTGGTACTATTAACATTATGTATTCTATTAGTTGTACATGTGATTTTTCTTAAAGCTTCTAAAGTTTGGTAATGTGTAGTTTTTGTTTAGGTATCAAATTATTGCTGTTGAACTAGAGAGAGAAAAATTCAGTATATTGTATTGTGTGAATATGTAGCTGTTCTAGAAGTATTGGTTGGCATTGTGAACTAGTAGAGTAGACTTAACTGTTGAATTGTATTATAAAATTATTATGAACAACAAGCGAAAATGTTGATGCTAAAGAACAGTAGTATATTACTTTATATGTTTGAGAAACCTCTTTCCCTCATCATATAATCATTTCTGTAAAAGAAAGCATAGAAGTAATTTTTCAGCTTAAATAGTTTGTCTAGACAGGTATAAATGGATGTCTTTTGTGCAAACTTACTTTTGCTCATCTTCACTAGGACATGAAGTGGGAAAGGGAGAATTATGGTATTCCTTAACTGTTGCAAATATTCTGTTCTTTTGAGTAAGTAACTTACCTTAAATAAAAACTAAAAAAATGTATTTGTGTAAATACTTTGAGCCATAAAGGTTAATGAAAATTAAAATGTTTTCCACTTTACTTCTCAGAGAAAAAGTACCTTTATATTCTATTATTTGTTAGTAATTTGTCTAAATTTGTTCATGCAGCTATATTGACAATATAGCGATATAAAATACACACACACACACAAAATAATCTTTTACAAATATTATATCTCTTTTCCTGCCAATACTAGTGAAAGTTATAAGCTGATCATTATTATCCCATATACATGCAACAATTTGATATATACTTTCATAAACATTTTTATTTATTACCTTGAAAGCAAAAGCTCCAAAGGACCTGTACTTTTGCAAGCAGCAGCATAGTGGACTGGTCTCCACCCACTCTTATCTACTAAGTTATAGTCAGGAACAACTGATAACAGTGAAGATAAGTACTTGGGATTTGGATTAACAGCTGCACAATGAAGTGGAGTAACCTGTAAAAACAAGTATTTTAACAAGAACTTCTAAACATGGTACGTACCTAATCATATGTTTCACACAAAGACATTTACAGAGGAGTCAAACTGGCAGTCAAATTGTTAATTCAAGTGCTCAAATAAAGTCTATCAGGTCCAAATGTTGACCACTTTCTATAAGCATTCACTGTTTAAGCTTATTTGAAACATTGGTAGCATTAAAGATTGTTTGTAAATTTAAAATAAATGTGAAGCATAGGCACTGGAATTGAAGGGGATGGAGGACATATGCCCCCCAACTTTTGACCCAGTAGTGAAATGCCCCTTTGAATGGTGAACAGATACTTGTGTGTAATTACCAGGGAAAGTTACTGTTTTAACATAGCATACAAAGTGCCCCCACCCCCACCCAACCACAAATTCAGATTAATTCCCCCACCTGTGATGCGAAAAGTAAGGAAACAAAAACCAGTGAGTAAAAACAGGAACTTCTTGAAAGCAAACACAAGACATTGTCTAGTGAAGAAAATCTCTTGCAAACATCAACATTTAAATTTAACAGTAGAAACAATACCGTATTGGATATCACATCCAAGATAAAACAATGTCCACAGAAACATACATCTGGGGATGTTCCAAAAAAAAATTAACACCATTTGCTGTAAATCAACAAATTGAGAAATTCTTCAGCTAACAAGGTACTTTTCACACCCTATTATACTTCACGTATATATTTCTTTTGTGGTAAAAGTATCTGGTTATGTTATTTGAATCAACCATCTTCAAGCATAATATACAAGTACATCAATCATTAATATGAAGAAAGTGTTGTTAGAACAGAGGAAAACTTTGAAGTAAAATAATATTCATTGGTTACTGCAACAAACATATGATATCTATCTGTTAAAATTAACCAGCTCTGTTAAAACACTGCAGAAAGATTAAAAAAAAACTCTTCTGCTTTATTAAAAACAATTTAGATAACACTTAATTAACATTTATTAAACTTTACAATCATAACACATTTATAATAAAAGGTAAAAGTTACTACTATTATTTAAGCAAACTTTTACCTTGAAATTTTCATGAGGCTTTTTTAAAACAGAAACAGCTCGAAACTTGTCTAGTGGCTCACTTTCATTCAACAGTACCTAAGGAAAAGAAAAATATATACAATCATATTTCAATACACCCACATACCTCATAAACTACAAGTTACCTAGAATATATTAACCATATTGAAACTGCAACCTAGTAAGTTAAGCTTCTCATTACACTTGCATACCAAACCAGCTAAATTCAATTTTAAAGTGACAAGACACAGATTCTTCAAACAACCACTTGACAAAAAACTTATAGTTATGATAATATCTCTATGGTCTAGAACCTAGAACCAAAAACCTAAAGCAATGTTACTATATTTTTGGTCTAAGACACAAAATCTAGAGCAATGTTGAAATATATGTATAACTCTGGTCCTAATCACAAAGTAAAGTTTGAATCTTTCTGACCTAAGACAAAACATAAGGTAGTGTTGATATGCTACATGAACATTGCTGTTTCTCAGGTCTAAGATACAAAATCCACTATGAGGTTCCAAACAAAAAGATGTTAATAACAAGGACACCCATTGATGAATCAGTGTATTCTAATCAATCTAAACAACAAGGACACCCATTGATGAATCAGTGTATTCTAATCAATCTAAACAACAAGGACACCCATTGATGAATCAGTGTATTCTAATCAATT